GTGATAAAGATTTAGTGCCTCTGAGAATGTGTTAAATGGGTATTAGAATCATTGGATATGTTTAATTCCTGGCTCATGCTGTAGCCCATTAGGATGGAACACAGTTTCAGCCAATCGAAACTGGCCATCATTTCCACACAGGCTGACTGTATAGGTCATGTCATTGTATTATTTTGAGATTGTAATATGTTCTAGGCAGGGGTTCAAAACTAGGGTTGCAACCTGAATTTGAGTCATGATGGCCTTCTGATGGGAAAATATAATATTTCATGTAGATGTAGTAGTTATCTGTGATATTTATAGTGTGAAAGGAACTTGGTGAATGAAGAGTAGAATGTGTAAATATTTAGCATACTTAACATCCTGTTATAGAAGCTGTTCATTCAAGTAACTTACATGTGATGTCCTGTTAATACAATGTCCAGGTAATTGTATATGCAGTTTATGTAGAAATAAAAACTTAAATTGTTTTGAAGTCAAGGACAAAAAAGCTAACCATTAAATTATTAATCAAAAGTATCAACAGTACATGATGTTCCAGTGTACGTTCCAATTTCAGGTTTTGTGGGTCACTGTTGATGTTGCTACTACTCTTAGGTCTCTGCACCTTATAGACATGGGCAGTGTTCCCCATTTTCAGGCTCAAAAGTGGGTATGGTGAGTGTTCATGTATATATAGGTCTCAGTCCAACAGATCCACAGAGAGAGGGTAGAGGATGGTGCCCAGTTAAAATCAACAAGAGCAGGCCCCAGTTATTTTTGGTGCACTCAGTGGTCTTTAGTATCTTTCTGTCCACTGTCCCTACTGACCTGGATTAAGCACCAGCCCCTACTCATCCCCTCATGCATGTGTTGGCCAAATGTCTATATATAGACGAACACTTGCTCACTCTACTAACTTCTGCCCTACAAATGGACGCAGCCTCCAACACATGAAGCACTGCCCACAGTCACACGATATATATATTTTGTTTTGTAGACAGATGACCTCTGTGATTATATGCAGGAAATAACACTGAAAATTTGCATCATGTGCCAAAACAGACTGTACAAGTAAATAATGACTAGGGATTGTGAATGTATACAGCCTAACTTGGTTATTTGCATCAAATTACGTAGAGCCGATGATAAAGGTTGGAGATCCTCTTTCATTAAAGTCTCATAGTAACAGTGTATTCCTTGAAAGAAAATAATTATTAGAAAACCTTGATATTGTACTATTAAGCTTATAATTCTGAAATTGTACATAGAAATTTGTATATACTTTATCACAGTGTTAAATCAGTCTGTAAAATTATTGATACCATTGTTTAAATACAACTTTACAAAGTATATTTTATTGATTTATGTTATTTCTTTATAGCCAGTCCAACATTACCTGCAGCATCCATCATATTTTACTTTCTCATATACATAGTATGGGAAAGAACTGTGCCCAAGAAGAAATTTAATTTTGAGATTTTGATGGATTTATATTTTAATTAACCCTGAATATGAAAGAATGGTTTTTGGAATGCTGTCAATATGTACGTGCTTCACTGCTAAAACAGTTCTATTTTATTCATATACAGTATTTAAGAGTTTACCATCATAGGTCACTACTGAGTATGAACTTCTAGGTCCAAAGTATGAATCCCGACACAAAACTCTGACTTTCTCAAAAAGATTATGAGAATTTTATTACATTTCAGTAATTTATGGAAACCATCTCCCTTAATAAAACTGCACTGGTGATACAAAGGCAAATCGAAAAGTCTTTGCCCCTATTTTTTTTCAGCCTCAATAATACACATACAGGGAAATCAAAATACAAGCAGTGTTTTAAGTACCTTTGACTATTTTTCCACATAGTCACTGCCCCGGTTCAGGCATTTATCCCATCGCACCACTAGTTTGGAGATGCCGCTGTTGTAGAATTCGGCCGGTTGAGCACGGAACCACCACCGGACAGCGGTTTTTGCGTCGTCGTTGGAAATGAACCTCTGGCCTGCCAGGAACTTCTTCAGTGGAATGAGCTTGCCATTTCATATGGCAATGTTTACGATATCGTTCATGATTCCTTGGGGTATTGCAAGGTTTCATGTCGGTGGGTGCCTAAGCTGTTGGATGATCTGAACAAGGCCAAGAGAATGATGATGTCACTGCAACATTTGCAGCATTACTCTGAGGAGGGTGAAAGGTTCCTGGATCTCACTGTCATCCGAGATGAAATGTGGGTATTGCATTTCACTCCAGAATCAAAGCAGCAGAGCATGGTGTGGAAACATCCCGGTTCACGTGTCATGAAGAAATTCCACAGAATGCCATCCATCGGGAATTTGATGGTCACGGTCTTCTGGGATCACCGAGGACCACTCCTGCTTTTCATACCACGAGGTGCCACCATCAACGCGGACAGCTATTGTGGCACACTCACACGTCTGTGAGCTGCCATGAGGAAGAAGTGCCCGAGGTTTCTCGTGGACAATGTGGTTCTCCTCCATGACAACACCAGGCCTCATGTGACAAACAGGACCGCCACCCAACTGCAGTCATTTGGATGGGAGATTAGGGAGCATGCACCATATAGTCCAGACCTCACCCCCAGTGATTACATGCTCGATCCACTTAACTTCCTGGCAGGCCAGAGGTTCATTTCTGATGACGTGAAAACCACTGTCCAGCGGTGGTTTCACACTCAACCGGCCGAATTCTACAACAGCGGCATCTCCAAACTAGTGGTGCAATGGGACAAATGCCTGAACCAGGGTGGTGACTATGTGGAACAATAATCAAAGGTACTTAGAACACTGCCTGTATTTTGATTCCCCTGTATGTGTATTATTGTGGCTGAAAAAAAATAGGGGCAAAGACTTTTTGATTTGCCCTTGTATATTAAAGAAAAAAGTGGTATGGCCTCCTAGCAGCCAAAATATAAAATGTCAGTTCTCTTGAAAGCAAAATACTGCTTATATTTGTAACTGATCATTTTTCTGATATATTCATTTAAGATAGCAGAAGGCTGTGATACTTCAAGCACATGTGAGAACATGCAATGTCTGTCCACTGATTCTTTATGCTGTAATTGCCTCAGAAATAGAGTGAATGCATTATCAAGTCTTTCTCAGTTTTTGTCCATGTTACAGTTGCATTAAATATCCAGTGGGTGGCTGTCACAATTTTTGAATCACAAGCTCACATTACTCCTTTCACTTTATTCGCTTAGTGGGGGGTGGAGTCCAGCTGGGTCCACTCGGCACAGCGGCCACTGATTGACTCCTTTCACTTAATCAATTAAATAATATCATAGCTATATAAAATTTAGAGGTTTTCAAAGCAGTGAAGATACATACCGTCATCTTCTGTGTTGTAACATGTTGCAATATCTGCAGATGGATACCAACTAAGAATATAGACTCCTTTCTTATGCCATGTCATTTCACTCTTACAAGAATGTTTTCAGAAATATAAAGATGAATATTGTGGTGCAATAGGGTAGCCCTCCAAGAAGTGTGTCATGAAGTGTCAGAAACCTGTTCCATTTATTCTCATTGTATAACTTCCATGTGTTATGGAAATGTAATATTCTGGCTACATGTTTCATGATAAAAGAGGCTGGAAACCTATGAAACAGGGTGAGCGCAGAATGAAGTAAACAGATGTGATATTTGAGGTTCTTGTGACAGATTATGGTCTTCCTGGACATGATGGTGTGTAGTCTGATACAAACAGGTACTAAAAATTTGGAGGAGCCTGCTGATTCCATCTTCAGAATGGAGGAGAGGGATATGAAGGAAATGGGGGACAGCAGGTTTCTCCAAAATTTGGTACCCATCTATCAAAAACTGCATAGCATCACATCCAAGGAGATTATAATTTTCAGATTTCATATATGTGCTCAAAGCACTTAGTCCAGGGGCCCACAACACCACACACCTGGCAATGTGTGTGTGATAAAAATAACCATAAAGAATATTGAATAATGCAAGTTAAAGATACAGTCCCTATGCATAATTAAGCATCTTGCCATTAAGACATAAGGGGGAGGTGGAGGTATAGCTACATCACTCTTGACCTTGGCACTAGAGGGGGATTAGTGGTCAGCTTCATGCCCTGCCCACGCTACACCTGGAACCCACTGGACAGGAGGCTTAGTGGGCCTCAAAAGCTGGTCTGGACACTGTGAAGCAGAGAAAAATCTCTTGCCCCTGCTGGGAATCAAACCCCAGCTGTCCAACCTGTAGCCCACCATTATAACAACCAAGGTATCCTGGCGCCCACTTCTTCAATATATCTCACTTAAAATATGATATACATTTCATTTCAGCTAACTGAATTTATTAGAGAAAGCATATGTCAATGAATACAATTTATGCAATGAATTCATAAGGTATTGGAGCCAGCATTATAGGTTCTACTTTCCCACTGATGATATGGGCAGGTCGTGGCTGAGCAGGCTGAAACAGATAAAGAAAAAGCTCAATAAATTCTAGAAATATGTTTAACTACATTAGTATTAACCTTTTCCACGTTATGCTTTCATGTCCCAGACATAAGGACATGAGACTAATCCAATAAATCTGTTCTGCCATGTGTGAAGAGTTACTGCAAATGGTAATGCAACAGAAATTACATGTACATGGGGAAACATATTGTCACATGATAAGAGTGTCACTACAGATGGGTTTTGGATTGATCGGATTTACTGGACCCTAATACAGCATGTGGCTACACTTTACAGTTCACTATTACATTCACTAATGTCCACAGTCACATCTTCATTAGCCGTTGCTCAGCAGCAGCTTCCAACAGTGGATGTTCCCCTTCGAGTTCCCAAACTATCCCTGAGCTCAGCTACCAGCTTCTCGCAGCAGCACCTCACAATGACTGAACTGCAGACATCCTCTCACTAACTCACCAACCAACTCATTCCATTCCATTCCACTCCACTCCACTCGACTGACTAAACTCACTCCTCACTAACTAATCTGTTTTCAACATCTTGGTATGGACCGCACAAGTAACACCGTTCCTCTGTTGTTAGGGGCCATGACCTAGCATAGGTCTACATGCCACAATACAAAGAGAACGTTTCTGTTTATAAAAACAGAAGAAAAGAGACTAATACACCCTCAATTATAGAGAAATATCAGGCTTTACTTTACCTCCTTTCCCCCAAACCTACTACTCAACCACTGCTATGACAAAACTGCTAAAATTCACCCATGAAGACCAACACAAACATTTCATCCCCTTGGCTGATAAATCCCAATCACCTCCATTCCAAACCACTTGGCTGCCATAAAAATATTAGGAAGGAATTTCCTAACCATATGGTAATCAAAATCCAGCATCTATCTCCTAACCATGCAATCTCTAACCTTCCTTCATCACCTCATTACCACATGGATGCAAAAAATATATATCATCATCTGTTCTCATCACAACACGGCAGTCAAAATGCTTCCATCATCTCCTGTCCTAAACACATGCTCAGATGAAAGAAAATATCACACCTCTGGTGTTCATGACCACCTTGCCTTCAAAATCATTTAATCATCTGTTCCTCAGTCACTGATCACTCTCTGTTGGATAGCACCCATTCCTGTCAAATATATGGGCTTCCAAAACCACCCCCAAACACACCCAGAGTATGGCAATTGCAATGTCTGCCAAAACAAACCTTTCAACATTAAATGCAGTTTATTCCTGAAAACCAAAGTCATACCTAGACTTTCACTAACTACAGGTTTCCATATTCTCCCTAATACCTTCCCCAAGCCCTGTTGATGTTCATGTTAGCATCCAAGTTTTCCAACAGTGCAAACCCATATGAGATAGAATCTCTTCATATCAAATTTCTGCATTGTTTATTTACTTTCTGACCATCTCCCCAACTTTGCAAAAATTAGCCGGTGGTGTCTCATCGCCTTTAATGCTTGGTTGGTTGAATGTCACCTTCTGTTATATGACCAGTCTCACCATTTCTCTCTCCAGCAGAAAAATTCCAAATGTTTATAAATACTGCAGTGGGAACACTGTATTCTAAAAATCTTTAGATGTGGCAAAGCTTACTAGTCTAACCCCACTAATCATTGCTAGATCCCTGTAAACCATCATGCCCAATTTTCAGTTTATCTCTCTTTCTGCCTTTGCATGAGCTAAATGCTCATATTGTATTTAGGGAATTAATGAAATTTACACCTTTGTTTCTCATAAAAGCTGTTCTGTGTCTTATGACTTTCATCCTTGGAGTATACATGTATTCAAAGCATTACTACACCACTGACCAACATTCCCACCTACACAGGAAAATGATAACCACCTGCTGGTTCAGTGCTACCCTCGTCCCATGATACCTTCTGTCAATTATTTGATATATGCAGAGAAAATCAGTTGTACACAAACTACATTCCTAATCACTATCTTGAAGTAGCTATCAAAATGACAACAAAGTTTGTATTTTAAATATTGTGAAACTTAAATCTTAATAACATCTGGAGGAATTTGTAAGTAATGATGTCTCAAATACCTTTCGTTTCATTTCAACCTTGATTTTCTTTTCCATTGCTTCCTTTCGCAGACGCTCGTTTTCCTTCACTCGTTTTATGAAATCCTCTCGGCATTTGGAATGAGTCACATGTTCAATACGAACATTGATCCTGATAAAAAGAAATACTTGTATGCATAAACATTTTATAAAATGTTGTACCTATGACATACATGTTATGCACAACTACCACAGACCCGGACAGCTTCTATTTCAAATCATAACTGAAGGATTCTGTGGAAGAATGGCCATTCCATTTGTATAAACTTAACACAAACAAAAAATTGGATAATTTATGTAATTTTATGACCAACTTTAGACTTCTTTTGGTCTGAACCAGTGTATGGGATTTCTTTAAGAACTACATGCTTCATGCACCAATGTATGGTACTTTCAATGTCAACAAGATGGCCAGAAACCTTTAAAATGGGACACACAGGAGGATCCTGACATTTCTTATGATGGTATCTTGGGGGGAGGGCGGGGGGGTTCATTTGGGTCATCCTATGCAATGTAATGGGTAACTGAACTATAAATATGGAATCTGACAAGGGGGGGGGGAACAATGTGCTTATACAAGTTTTGAACAAATTTTAATGTTTGAAAATAACGCTGTTAACTAGTGTATGTGAAAAGTACTAACATCACATTTTCATCACGCACTTGGACAAATGCATATGAAATTACACATCTCATTACTCTCAGCAAAGAAAATACTGGTGTCAAGATCACAAAAACTATTACTATGGCCCCCTTGAGGCAAAATCACCATATTACCAGCAGCGATCTAATTTAGATAGGAGATCAAAGTCTCCAGTCTTCATATGCACAGAAAGCACTCCATTTAAAACGAATAAATGATGCAAAGGCCTCAGGATCAATCTGAATGCAGCAATGAACGACCTGGACAAAAGTCTAGGCACATATAGTATCTTGCATTACATACCGCTTAGGGATTATCTTCCCTCGAAGGCGTTTATTTACAATGATTCCCAAAGCATGAGGTGTCACATTGAAGACACGCCCTGTCTTTCCATGGTAGAACTTGTATGGCATGCCCTTTTGAACAGCACCATTGCCCTGTAATTATTTTGAAATACCTTTTTGTATTTTTATCATTACCTAAATTAACATTTCCTTAAAACAGTTTACTGGATTCATCAGCAAAGAGTGTATATGAAAAACTTTGCTAATAGAAAATGCAATGGAACATTCAAAGGAATCTGTCTTCATCTTCAGGAAGCATAGAAGCAGCAGGTTCCTCCAAAACCATAGTAACCATTTACCAAACAACATGGTAACATATGCCAGACAATCAGTCTTACATCCACTTTTCTGAGAACCTTGTATATCATATTTAGAGTACCAATTGTGAAAAAATAGTGAAGTTCTGGAAGACAAGGATCAAAAACAAACAATGATATATTAAAAATAACACAAATCTAACCTACCTACTTCCAAAACTGTCAGTTTGCAATTATCGGCCATTGAATTCTGATTTGGAAGCTAGAAAATTTGATATTATCATCATTATTATTACTTACTTACTTAGATTTATGTTAATTAAATTATTATTATTATTTGTTTGTTTACTTGTCTGCATTATTGTCTTTATGTTGTGATTGTCCATAATGTCATTACTTGTATTTACACTGTACTCTGTCTGTAACTGGCCTTGCAGCTGTTGACTCAGCACATAAATAATAAAGAATTGAAATGAATTATTATTAGTGGGGAGAGACCAAGTCCACTTGGTACTGTGGCCACTACTGGCCTACTGTACCAGCCCCAAAGACAGATGATGATGTGGAGCAACTGATGGAATGAAGACTGGCAGGGGAAACCGAAGTACTCAGAGAAAACCTGCCCCAGTGTCACTTTGTCCATCACAAATCCCACATAACCAGACCCCAGATTGAACCCAGGACGCCACAGTTGGAAGCCAGTGACTAACTGCTTGAGTTATGGTGCAGCCTAAAACTGATCTTAATATGAACAAAAGAAACAATTTAATCCACTAATATTACACCTTCTGACATTCATTCATCAGTAATCTGTCAGACAACAGGTCCACAGTCTCTTCCAAAACAGTTCCTCCACTTAATGCGAACAGTAATATATTACGATGTTACAATTTTGTAACAGGAGCAGCCTTCTGAACACACAATGGTGTACATTTGGGTCTTCTAAACGGCATGGAATTTCTTGACTTGCTAGGAGACTATCAGTTTCTTTCGAGACTGTGTTCCATACAGTTAATTATGTTATACATCCTATGACGTTCTGTACCACAACCTGAATGCTGATATGATAAACCGGCATGACTACTAAGTCACTGTGAAGGCCGACGTTCATAACTACATTCAGAACACTATGAATATTGCACTGCAAATTATACAATACTGTATTTTCACTGACCTTAATGTCGACAATATCACCAACTTTGTACACTTTCATATACGTAGACAGCGGAATCGTTCCATGTTTACGGAATTTGCGAGAAAACAAATCCCTTGTACCTCTCCTATAACCTTTTGAGTTCGTCATTTTGAATGAACCTGGAACATTTCACACACTACTCATAAACCGTGATTGTTTCATAATTTTTGTTATTCATAATTTAAAATGTAACAAAATGCAAAAATTATGCTATCACACGTGCTGTTTCTTTCTGGTACGATAACTACGTTTAGTTTACTAACCATACTTGTTGCCTATACAAAATGTTAAATTTCAGTACGATATGACATGATATAACTGTTCTATGACGTGAAAATTTGCAGTCTATATTCTTTAAATTATATTAATAAATAAATGTAAAAATTGTTATACATACTCTTCCTTCACATACACAATGCACCGGAAGCTCAAGAGAACCACGGATTGATAGTACAGAGATGAAACTCACCGCTAATATTAGTCAACAATTATCCTCAATCACTGGACCCAGTGATTGAGGCTAGCTCTTTCTAACGGACCCAACAGAGTAGGTTTTTCCTTCACCTGAGGACGGAAACAGATCCAGTTTCCGAAACGTCGTGTTTTTATTAGTTATCTTAAAAACCAGGACGATGGATAAAGTCCAAAACCCCAATATATCACACTGTTGCATTTGTTCCGTTCTAGAAATAAACCCTTACCAGAAGGCAGTACGTGGTCTAGACGAAAGCAGCATGGGTCAATATGCTACAGAGGGCCGGATGGACATTGCCTAGGCCATCTTTTTACATACATGCATTTTTTTAAATTTAAAAATGACATAATGGGTCATAAAACGTGTTTTCATGATCCTTCGGAATCGATTGTGGCCGTCGTAAGTGATCCGTGGTTACTACCGTGGCGCTACCCTGGTGCAGAATTTTGTGAAACGTGGTTACGGGTGAGTTGGAACCGAAACAAGGGAACGCTGGTGGCCGAAAGAAGAGGTTTTGGAGCTAACGCACGTATGTCACTGTGAATTTGTTTGATCGTGTTTGGTGTTGATGCAGGTATAGCAAGGAATATTTCGGCCAGAAGTGTAGGGCACGGTTATTTTTTTGTCGGAGTGCGATTGACGACAGGAGTACAACTGTCATAAATACTTTCAGAGTTGACTTTGGGTTGTTGATATTAGGTATGGAGGAGTAGGTGATTTGAACAAAAAAAGTAATACATTTCCTTCTCTGATTTCAGAAATGACTCGTTGGAGGCATGTATGCTGTTCGACGTTGTTGTTGCTAATAATTAGCATAGCGCTTGCAATTCCTAAACCAGATGACAAGGAAAAGAAAGATCGGGTGCTAGACAACGTAAGATAAAAATGCAACTTCTAGTTCAGTCTTCCCAACATGTACATATACTGTTCATTTTATAATTGAATATTTTAATTGTACCTTTAAGGTGTTGTTATATGTGGGAAAGGTATAAATTCTATGGAAAGTTTGTTTTCATTAATCAGGTTTCAGAGTTTAATTGTGTTGACCTAAATATTGATTTTATGTTATGCTTTTACAAACTTTCTTTGTATGATTGTAATGATAAGGTTCTGTAGAAGTTATATAGTAATGACTATTCACTATAATAATTATTACAAAAATTTTAACTCAAGTTATTAAAGATGCCAAAGATGCGTTACACCAAACATAACAGGATATGATGGTGATGTAAAAATAATCTGGAAAGTTTTAAAAGACAGAAGAGGTAAACATTCCAGTGTAAAAGAAACCCTATCAGTAAGGGTAATATTGTACACTATCCTAAACTTAGAGCCAACTCTTTCATTTCTTCATTGTCAAAAGACAGCACTATAATGGCAACAAAATACTGCAAGGAAGATGCAGTGATATACATTACTAAAGCAATTCCTAGAATCTACTGGATATGAATATTGTGCCTATAACAGTAAAATCAATTAAAAATGTAATTAATTCAAATTAAAGAATGTGGTTGTATTGTATTGTATTTATTAAATGTTTCCTACAAGGCCAAAGCCATTGGATACAGAACCTGTCACACCACAAGCTTACTAAATCAGCATGTAGTCAACAGAGCAATTCATATAAATCCACAACAGTAAATCGAGCATATGAAACCCCTACACATCACTGCAACTACATAACCTACCATGTGTATATAAGATACAATACAAAATTGGAACATATACATGACAATAGATCAAATAATTGGTCATAGCTAAACAAGAAATAATCCCAAATTAAAATATTAATCTAGAGTGTAATAGGATTTAGTATGTAAAGAAGCACTTAAAGGTGTTCTAAATTGCTTAATATTATGGACCAACTCTTTTATATTTAAAGGAAGATGATTAAGAAGTTTAATACCAAAATAATAAGGTCCTCTCTGATAAGTTGTCAAATTTGTCTGAGGGTAATAAAGATCAAAATTATGCCTAGTATTAAGGCCATGAATTTGTGATGTCGTGTGATATAAACCCATATTATTCGCTACAGACATCAATAAAGAAAATATATATTGGGACTGCAATGGCAAAATTCCCCAATCCCTAAATGCATAATGTTATATTTTAGCATCCTGTTAAACTGATTCATGTCCATGGTTTATGCTGACCGTCTTAACAGTGTATACACTTTTTCACCTACACTTCCACACTACATGTTTCAGCACTAATGTGCCATCCTCAGGTGTCTTTATGCACGTTAAACTGTTGTACTGCATGCCATGATGTCTTCATTCTAAAACGACTAAAATCTGTATTCGTCATATAGGACGAATTCTAAATAATAAAACTCAGGTTTCTTCCTATGTCGCACTCAAACATGCAAATTATGCCAATCCTCTTTTATGTGAGCATTCTTCCTACATATATTTGTGTATCGTGTTCTGTGTTGTGTTTTGCTCCTGTTACTGCATGCGTTGTACTGCTGTACATCCAGCAGTACAACGCATGCAGTAACAGGAGCAAAACACAACACAGAACACGATACACAAATATATGTAGGAAGAATGCTCACATAAAAGAGGATTGGCGTAATTCGCGTGTTTGAGTGCGACGTAGGAAGAATCCTGAAAAGTTTTATTATTTAGAATTCATCGTCCTATATGACGAATACAGATTTTAGTCGTTTTAGAATGAAGACATCATGGCATGCAGTACAACAGTTTAACGTGCATAAAGACACCTGAGGATGGCACATTAGTGCTGAAACATGTAGTGTGGAAGTGAGGAATAAGGTGAAAAAGTGTATACACTGTAAGATGTCAGCATAAACCATGGGCCCTAAATGCATGATGTAATATGAACAGTTCTGGTGACTATGATGATACTATTCCAAAATCATATTCAGTTGCTTTCTTTGTTGAACTAACTAACTTAATCGAGCTAGGCACTTCTTGGGAAGCCGCCAATTGTGCAGCTTCTCAAGAACTTCCCAGCATTTTATGGAACCTGAAGTTTCATTACAATGTTCACAAGAGCTCTCCATTGGTCCCTATCCTGAGCCAATTTGATCGAGTTCATACCACTCCATCCAGTCTGTCTTGAGATCCATTTCAGTATTTCCCACCCACGTAGGTCTTGGTCTCCCTAGTGGTCTCTTTCCTTCTGGCTTTTCCACCAATATCCTATATTCATTCCTCTTCGCCCCATTCGTGCTACATTCGTGCCCATCTCATCCTCCCTGATTTGATCATTCTAATTATACTTGACAAAGAGTACAAGATATGAAGCTCTTCATTATGCAGTTTTCTCCAGTCACCCATCACTTTATCTCTCTTTGGTCGTAGTATTGTCAAACACCCTTGGTCTATGTTCCTCCCTTATGTCAGAGACCAAGTTTCACACCCATACAGAACCACAGGCAAAGTTATAGTTTTGTGTATTATAATTTTTATGTTTTAGACAGCAGACGAGAAGGCAAAAAGGTTCTGGACTGAACGGTAAGAAGCATTACCCAAATTCAGTCTCCTCTTAATTTCCTCGTGAATCAGGTTTTGATTTGTGATAGCTGTTCCCAGATATCTGAACTGTGTCACATCTTCAAAACATCTGTTACCTATCTTTGTGTCATGATTTTGCTCTCCATTTTGGTGATGAGACAGCAACATATACTTAGTTCTCTCTATGTTTACTTCTAGACTAAGCTCCTTTTTAGCATCATTTAAATTTTCTGTGATTTTCTTTATGGTATCTATGTTATTACCCAGCAGATTCACATCATCAGCATAGACCAACAGCAAATGAGTTTGATTTAATTTCAGTCTCACTTGATTTTCCTAGACCTCTCTAATGACATATTCTGAAGCAAGGTTGAAAAGCAGTGGTGATAAAGCTTCATCATGTTTTAGACCATTCTCGATAGGAAAATTATCAGACAAATGTTTACCTACACTGACTTTACTATACATTTCGTTCAAACACGTTTTAATCAGCCTAACTAGTTTCATAGGTATACGAAACTGTATCAGAATATTGTACAATGCTTCCTTCCTAATTGAATCATAGGCTTTCTTGAAGTCTACGAATAGCTGACATACTGTCTCATTGTACTCCCATTTTTTTCTCCAGTATCTGACAAATGCAAAATATCTGATCAGTAGTTGATCTCTTATGTTGAAACCAACACTGATGATCCCGAATAATTTCATCTACGTATGGACTTAACTTTGAAAGTATATTGGATAAAATTGTGTATGAAATTGATAGCAGCCATATCCCATGATAATTACTACAGTCAGTTTTATCACCCTTCTTGTGAACTGTTGCAATAATAGATTCCTTAAACTGATGAGACAGTTTTTCCTTATTCCAAATATAATTAATTAGGTTATAGCATCTCAGAACGTAATATTTCACCTCCTGTTTGAATAAGATCTGCTGGAATTCGATCACTACCTGGTGATTTATACCTTTTCAACTCTGCAGTAGCAATTTCAACCTCAAAAGAACTAGGAACAGGTACTAACGGCTCAGTTATATGTATTTCTATCTGCCTAACATCACTGACCCTATGTGCATTCAGTAACTGAGAATAGTTCTTCCACCTATTCAAAATGTTGTGGGAATCTGCAAGCAGATCACCATTCTCATCTTTCATTAAGTTACTTCTAGGTTGGTAATCCCTCTTAAATTCATTTATTCCACTATAAAGATATCTAAAATGTTCCTGTTCTTACTGTTTGTTACAAGCTTGTTGATTTTGTCTCTCAAATATTTCCTCTTTTTATTCCTGAAATGCCTGATGGCTTCATGTCATATTCTTTGGATTATCCCCATGTTTTTCATTTTGATCCTTTAACCACTTCAGTTTGGCTTCTTTCCTTTGGTCTCATAATTTTAAACATCCCTTTTCGAACCATGGCTTATGTTTCTGAAATTCGTAATAACCTGGACTGTCTTTGGTCGGAATTTTGATGTTCTCTCTTATAGTTTCACAAGCTTTAATAATATCCACATCATTGTCTAAGTTTTCCAAAGCTGTGAACCTACTTGAGATTTCATTCCTTGTTGAACAACGAGTAAGATTTCTAGTTACTCAAGGTGAATATGATTTGAATTTCAGGAACTGAGTGATCAGGAGCATTATCAGAATGCACAGCACAATGCACAGTATGATCATGAAGCATTTTTGGGGGAAGAAGCTAAAACATTTGATCAGTTGACACCAGAAGAAAGCAGAAGAAGACTTGGGTAAACATATTTTTAATTTTGAATCCTTTTATTTATTTACATGGGTATTCATTCATATTATTGCATATATCTGTAGTTTAAGTTGAACTTTTGTAAATAGTGGAGCAGGAGTTGTGAAACTTTTCCAGTTTACAACTGAGTAAGTTGGTACTGCAGCACTTTTGTCATGAATTCAGTGGCTACCAAATCTGAAACCCAGCCAGAACTGGCTGTCCTGTTGGTAGGTTTGTGTTGTGTTCCTGGTATTCTCCTCACGAATGCAAGATCATACCTTGAAATAGATGACCAATTCCACAGCAATCTCTGTTTATCACCTGCAATCAAAATCAGCTGGAGGGGTTGAGCTCTACCAGTGTTTAACACTTAAAAGTATTAGAAGTGTTTGCATAATGAATGTTGAGCAGGACAGATGGTGTTTTGCATTCCCCAGAGTTACTGTTTGGGTTGAGAGAAATTCATTCATGGTCTTGACTCGCATGCTGTAGCCTTATCTCACTCTTCAGTGGAAGTTTCTTCCATTTCCTTATGGCACTAGACAGTTGTCATTCCCTTCGCTTTCAAGTTTGTCCTCTTTCCATTAGGGCCGTGGTGTGCTGTCTCTCATGTTTCTGGATTTATTTATATCTTTCCACTTGTCTGAACGTCTGATTTCTACGTCTTGCTGCAGGTATTGAATGTTTCCATTTCAGAGCTTGAAAAGAGTGTGTGTTCAGATATTATGGGTTTATTTATTGTCCAAACAAGTATTCATATTTTTATTGGTTCCAGAAATCCACATTTTGCAATACAGCCTCCAGATATAGAACAAGTCAAATTATTTGTATAAAAGTCAACAATACTATAATATTTAACTACATACACAAATTGTGTACATTGTAGGATTGTGTGATCAGTGTTGGTGTGTGTTGTGTATATGTGCACATTTTTATATCACAGTGACAAGCCTGTAATATGAATATGGATGGAAGTTTATTAGAAACCTTGTGTAAATGATGGCTATATAGAGTTTCCAGTAATTTCAAAGGAGATATTACAGAAGCAGAAAATATAATAATTTTAGTGTCTGTACTGAATAGTTACTGTATATGGAAAAAAAGCTGACGAGAAAGTAGACTGAATTTAAGGGCAATTTCAAAGTGATTCAGTGATACATGAATCTTTATTACCATGATTATCAAAGAGCACAAAGAATAGGTGTGGAACAGGTAGTCGATCTAGCTCAGTGACTGAAACAGTGCATTTCTAGGTTGAAATGAATCCCCACCAAAGCACTTACGGTATAGAAATGTTGGTCTGTACGATTGATGCAGGGGAATCAGAAGGAACAGATGAATGTAGTGGGGTTTGAATCCTTTCCTGGCTTGGTGGGAGGGGGCATGCATTGTATTGCTGCCAGTAGGAGTAAGGTGTTCAACCCCAGGCTAAACTGAACTTTGTAATGTAAAGAATAAACTCTTATAATACTTTCTTAGTTATAGTCCTGGGGGTGGGTAAATTTATTCAGTCCATGCCCCACGTGTATCCCCCTGTCATTTCTCAGCAAAGACATTCCCGTGGCAATGAATTGTTGGAGGCGTTTTCTTTGCAGTCCATGTTAAAATATACTTACCTGTCCTTTTCACAAAGTGCCTTTCTTGTATCTGTGTCCACTCTTCCCTTACTTTCCTCTAATTTGGTTTCCCAAATGAGCGTCTGTTTCCCACCTTTACTTTTAAGGTTGTTATAGGAATCTTGTCATCCACGTGCAGCACGTGTCCACATTACTTAGACCTTAAGTTATAATTGCTTTTAAGAATAGAATGTACTGGTTCCATTAATTTTGAATCTTATTATACCAAAATTGAACACATTTTTGTATATGCTTTGGTTAGCTTTGAGAAATTTGTGTTCAGATATTCAGAAAGGCATTCACAGTTAATGCTAACATAGATGACACTTCTTTCATACTACACTGTTTACTTTTAAGAATTATTATTTGCTGAGTAATTATACCAAGGTATATTTCTGTCGTATATATTTTCAGGTTGATAGTTGATAAAATTGATAAGGATGCAGATGGTTTCGTTTCAAGAGAGGAGCTGAAAGACTGGATTCAATACACACAAAAACGGTACATTACTGATGATGTTGAGCGACAGTGGAAGGCACACAATCCAGAAAACAAAGATAAACTTTCATGGGAAGAATATAAGAAAATGGTTTATGGGTTCATGGATGGTAAGAAAACAGTAATATCTGATGATAAAACCTTTCCAGGAAATCGAGTATGGCAGTTTGATGTAGATGTCCGATGTTCTGGAGAATGTGCCTGTCTCCAACATCAGGAATTGATGCTGTACTTGAGGAGATCTTGCACTTTTTTTTGTGAAAGAAGTAGATGTAGTAAAGTAATTGATGTTGAAGTGCTTGAAGACCCTTACAGTTTGTTTTAATATTGAAAGTCATCATTGTCATTTCCAGGATTAGCCCTGTTGAAACCTGTACAAAATTTCTTTTAAGTTTATAAAGAGAAATTATTAGATGGAAGCGAACTACATGTGTTTTAGGATGTATCATTGCATTTTATGATAGCATATTATGTTTTATAAACTGACATATTATCAGAATGTGTTTCTTAATTTTTAATTATAGATAATTAAACCTATTTTGGTCAGATACATTCCCTGCAACTATGCCTTTCAACATTTTGCTGTATAGGGAATTGGAAGTTTTTGTTTTTACAAGATGTGTTCAATTCCTGACAGGGGTATTCATCCTTCCTTTTTTCTACCACTTCCAGAAGACCTTTGAGGCCTACCTATCATTTTAATGCTGTTGGGACTTATTCTCCTCATTCCCTGTTGCATTCATATCATGATGTTTAATAACAAAGATCATTTTAGATAGACTTGAAAGGATTCTGACGATGGTGTATTATCCAGTTTTTACATTCGATTTTAACTGAATTCATGGAATATAACCTATACTTCTGTTTCTTTACATTGTTGACAAGTGCATGCTTGGCACAAATTTTCTGTCGTGTTTTTTACTGTGATTTTATCCTTTCCTCCCACTGATGGAACCGGTTGTCGGTTGTTCATAGGTTGTTTTTCTACATACAGGGGTTTGTCCAGTGATTGAGACTAGCTCTTTCTAAGGGGCCCAACTGAGTAGGTTTATCCTTCCCTATCCACCTGAAGACGGAGACAGATCCAGTCTCCGAAACGTCTTGGTTTTTTGTCTTTCACATACCAGATGATGGGTGAGGTCCAAAATAAACCAAAAGAAGTAAAGATCATTTTACCTTTACACAGTGCTATATAGTCAGCGCTGTTAAATGGACTGTCTGTCAGGGCTGTTTGAATGGCCACATGTGGGCCATGAAAGTATCCTTCTATTCCAAAATCTTGTTAACACTTCCCTCCTCTTTATAAAAGGCAGCAGATCTTTTTGAAAAACTTCATGAAAAATGCTTACTAAATATTCTATGTAATATTTTAATTGATTTCAAACAACACATAGTAAACATATGGTATCAGTATGGCACCATGATTGATACAGTGTAGCAATTCTTTGGTAGCTGATATGTAACAACTGCCAATCTGACATTTAATTTGAATACATGGTTTCAAACATTATGGGTCTAATTGCTATTCACGTACTTAATTGTGACCAATACAGGCAAAGTACCCACACTGATGTAATGGAGAAAATATATATTTTTATAATGCAGTCTTTCGATAGGTGCTTAAGGTATAATATGCCCTTGGAATGGTTTAAAGTTGGACAGTCCTGCAATTGTAATACACTATATAAATAAATTTATAGGTTTAGTCTTTATCATCTGTGTATCGCATAATTGTGTTTCATATTAGCTTATTCAGTAGGCCTCGTCTCTCATTTACTGTATAAATCCTGTTGCTGCCAAGTTTAAATCTGGATGTTAGCATCATATTACCAGGAGATTCAAGTCTGGATGATTAGTGTTAATTCCAGTAATAAGTATTTTGAGTGAGCTTGTAGATGTGTTTCAGGTCTAAATCTCTAGTGCATGAGCTCAAGAAAAATCTTGCGAGTCTTTAGAACTTCACTTCTTTTGCCCTAAATTATGTAGTGACTGAGGCAGATCTCTTGCTGTTGCCTCCTCAGCCAACTTGGCATTCATACTATAGATTTATCAAAGTATATTGCTGCAAATGGTTCTGTTGGAATGCAGAATAGGTCCCAAGCATTCTGTATGTATTTCCTGTATGTATTGTTAGACAAGTCTTTTTTGTATATTTATTATTGCTCATGTTTAATATCTCTTGTGTTTATTAGTTTCAGCCTTGTCAATGACTTGTTCCTATATTTATAGTGGCATTCCATGGTCTACACTGGGAACAGCATTTCTGTTGTGGTTCAGCCAAAGGTCTAGCAACATTTTGGGAGTAATTTCTTCGGACATTAGGCATTGAATTTCTTTGTGTGAAGGAATCCTATAAGAACTCATTCTCTCAACATTTTGCTTCCAGTTTTTGTTATAAATTATATACTGTTTTGGCCCAAAGTTGTAATATTATGGAAAATATTTGACTGATTCAGATATGGATCCAAGTGAAATGGAGAAAGAAGAAGAAGGGTTTTCTTACCAGAATATGCTGCGTCGTGATAGGCGGCGATGGAGTGTGGCTGATCAAGATGGAGATGATGCTCTAACAAAGGAAGAGTTTTTAGGATATCTTCATCCAGAGGAAACTGGCCATATGAGGGATATAGTAGTTTTAGAAACCATGGAGGATATAGACAAAGATAAGGATGGACGAATCTCACTGAGTGAATATATTGGAGACATGTATCGAGGTACAGAAGATGAACATGAGCCTGACTGGGTGAAAAATGAGAGAGAACAATTTTCTCAGTATAGAGATAAAGATGGAGATGGGTTTATGGATAAAGAAGAGGTATGTGTATAGGAGTTTAACAGCAGTAGAAAGGTATACAGTAAGTCCTTAACATTTTCCCAGTTAATGTTTCATTCTTACATTGATAATGTTTTCATACCAAGGTTCCGCACAACATTCCTCATCCACCATTCACATGCTTCATCTTTGGCCATTGGTGACTACAATATGTCATGCTAAATGTTAAGTAAACGTTATTGTCATTTATAATTGCATGTATTTATGACCAAAAATATACCAGTATTTACAGTCCTGAAGAATGGTTGAGGAACACAACCTAATTCTTATATCGTAAGTTTCTTATGGTAATAATGGAACCACTTACAATGATTTCACATAATGTTATGGTTTGCAAGAACATATCCACAAAGTTAAATGAGGATGTACTATCCTCAAATTTGGAGTGCACAGATTCTACAAATGAGTTGTTTGCAATCCTGCAACTCTAGTGGTTCTCGATCTTGTATTGAAGATACAAATCTATTGTTGACAGCTAACTAGCAGTATAGATCCTGCACTGCATAGAATTATTAAGTCCTTTATTAACAAAGGTAACGAAGAGTGTATTTATACAGTATGCAGTGTAATGGTTGGCAACTCCAGCATGAATAATCCTATCAATAGAATCACTGTGTCTCTTTCTTCTTGTGGTGAAAAAGAACATTGCATCTTAATTAATTTTATTTAAATGCAGTGATTTGTGAAAACTTTTTATTTAAAAAAAACTGTGGTATTAAAAGTAATATATTGTAACGTGTTTACGTTACAGATCCCACTTCTGACACCAGTGTAACGTGTTCACGTTACTGAATACGCCGTAGAGATCGTTAACTGGTTTATTGAACAATCTACAAATAACGGCTACAATTAATGATCACAATATTACGGGTTTCCACACTTTACAAACCCTAGAACACAATCTCTTAACACAATCTTCACTTGTCTTCACGTACTGATTACGCGGGAGCTATACAAGTCTCCCTGAAATACACACTCTGAGTATAACCGTACTACAGCAATCACTATGTCTGGAAAGCACACAACAAGTCTTCCGCTCGCTGACTTCTTAGTTATCGCACACTCGCAGGCTGCTATGTTTCAACTGAACATCACACTGCTNAACAAATTTGCCTAGAAATAAGGATGATAATAAACAATTTTAATATTGCATAATTTTATGTATAGTGATGTAAGACTGTAAATTTAACACATGTTTTTTTATCTATTATAATGATTATAAGCTGTACATATATATTTATAATTATATTGTACTATATTAACTATGTGACTGGTTCTATATCTACGTATATGGATTTATGGAATATACAATAAATGAATGAATGAATGAATGAGTGAAAGTGCTTTGTGGAAAGGTATTATATATTGTGAATACTTTGAAAATATTGGTCTAGTTGAGGCAATTCTTGATCCAATTATCAAAATTCCTCCAAATTCTTGATCTCATCTCACACTAAAAGTTAATCTTTTACATGCCTAGAAAATATTTGTGAAAGAGATTTGGCTATATAAGTTTTGTTAAATGTTTGTCTTGTTTACAGGTTAAGAACTGGATCATTCCACCAGATTTTGACCATTCTGAAGCAGAAGCGCGACATCTTATCTATGAATCAGACGTAGATGCTGATCAGAAATTGACCAAGGAAGAAATACTTGGCAAATATGATTTATTTGTAGGGTCACAAGCTACTGACTTCGGAGAAGCCTTAGCACGACATGATGAGTTCTAATCAGCCTCTCATTTTACACAAAGGATTATTTTAGAGTACATAACAAATTCATGAAATGTGTATATGTAGATATGGGAATTTCCATTTCTTTCATATGTCAAATTTAAAGTACGTAATTCTCCAAATAATCTAAATGGAGCATTGGATAGAGTCTGCCTTTGGAAGGACACAGACTTAATCTTTTCTGTGTCTTTTACAGATTGTTCTACAAGATAGTATTTCTGCTTTGTGTTACGTGAAATACATTGTATGCATATGATGCCGCATGTTATTTCTGGATTGCTCTGTTGGCAGTCATCAAGTTATGTTTGAAATGACACTGGATGGCAGGAAAGTGGCTGAATTTAAACAAAAATAAATTAATAATAGTACTGTAATATTCCAACATTAGAAGGATTAATTTAATGAGCATTTTATACCAGATTATATTTTTACATTAATCTTTTACTGATTAGTTATCACAGAATAGAATCTCACTGAAGTCTCATCATAGCTGTATGATCTATTGAATCTTATATGACCATTGGGCATTTATACATAGTAATGCCTGCTATTTTGGAGCCTTCATTTCTCAAATGGCTAGACATAATAGTTTTTAATTTAGGTAAACCAGTACCTTGTAATTCTGGCCTTCCACATCATGGGCTTAATCAGTTCTCACACTCAGGTAGAATTCATAGAATACAAAGTTGTGCTTATTGAAGTTTTGTTGTGATACTTCCATTTCTGCAAATTAATTCAATAGTATCACAGTCTTGCAAACAGTGATTCTAAATGGCTTCTCCAGTTAGTGTAATGTCTTTGAAAACATATGCAGAACTTGAGGAAACGTCACCCTTTGAACTTACCATAACTGAATGATGTTAGATCTCAATTTGGAACGGTATACTAATGTAAACAAAAAAATTTCTATGAAATTATGAAAAGAATGAAACATACCTGGTTAGTACGTTTTGTGCTGTCATACTGGTTGCATGAGAAGCACTACGTAATCATTAACTACTGTTTACAGTTTCTTTGCTGTAATGAAGACCAGACATTATTAACTTTTGCAGAAATTCTTACTTATGCTTCAGATTGTTGTCTTGTGTGTTATGATTCCATTTGATTTTGTAGGTGGTCACCAAGTTTTCAGGGGAACCCGGTGCCTCCACACTACTGTCCCAAAGACAGGGACAGCAGGTACCTTGTAAATGCTCGTAAAAATGTACAAAATTAAATAGTGTTATAACTCAGAAGAACATAATCTTAATTTCACTGCCATAAAAACCCCAAATCTTGAATGAAGTCTAAATGCAAGTGGCTGTATGTGTTTACTGCTAAAACTAATGTGTCTTTGAGGTGATGTTCGTATGTATTTTATATCCGTATTCTTTTGAATGAGTACTGCATTTGTGCCATACATTGATCATACTAATATTTTTTGTTCTCCTTTTATGTGGCTATTGAATAATTTATTGTGTTTTAAGGAATGGTGCAGGATATGTTCCTGAAATGTAATCTGAAATACCACCGCGTACCATAGCAATGTCATCACTGCTGTTACTATGAGTATATATAGTCCTGTACATACTAGTATCACACTGCAGATCACTGTCAGAATGAACTCCTTAAGACCTTGAGAATCTGATCAATTTAAACTTCATTTTCCTGTAATGATAGTTGCATGAATCTAATATTTTTACTGTTTGGGTTGTAATATAAATGACTCAGCTTTTCAGTAGAAAAAGGGTTGACTTTTATGCAGATAGTATGGCTTGCATTGCAATCCACATAGTTACTTAAGTATGATTTCTGTGTGAGAATAGACAATAATAATTCCTGTGAAATCCATGAAATTTTGCCACCTTGCCAAGTCAGTTACCTCTATAATTGGTTCCTTTTTTGGATCCATTATGTTATGATAATTCTGTTTAGATAAAGGATAGCTCCATCATCATAGTGACAGGCTGCGGGCTGGATGACCATGTAATCATTGTTCAATTCCCAGCAGGGGTAAGAAATTTTTCTCTTCTCCACATTTTCCAGACTGGCTCTGGGGCCCATCTACCTCATATCCAGAGGATACATGGGGCTCTCCCTTGGAGTAATGTCATTTACATTCTTGTATTTCATCCTATGCTTCTGTACATACTATATCCTATCTATGTAGGTCACACAGACAGATGAGCAATTTTTTTTTGTACTGGTCTGTATAAATTAAAATTTCTCCATCCATGTGTCCCTTTGTGTATACCTTGTAAGAATCCTCTCTGCTATTTTTTGGCAGCTGATAGCTGACAATCCACAAAATGGTGCATTTTTTATTTTTTATCATAGGTCTGCTGTATTTTTCACATTTAATTGATCATTAAAATTCAGATATGGAAATATTTCTTTCACATTCGCTTCATTCCCTTAATTTTATATTAAGTGCATGGATTGTCTAGTCAAAAATAAAATACAGCTTTTTGAGAAACATTAACATGGCTGCAAAAGTAACACAAGGCAATGGTTATGTAGTTTCTATAGAAACAAAAGTAGGAAATTTTAACATTAATTTCTGTAAGTTTGCCATAGACAGGTTTCATAAAAAATGCATACACTTCACAAGCCCAGAGACAATATATAAACATTACAGGCTGAAATTCAGTTTTGACTAAATTTCACCAGTGGATTTATGGGGAGGAGGTATCTAATTCATTATAATGTGAGGACATGAGTAGAAGATATGTTACTACTGGCAAGTTTGAAGATACTGACAAAATTAATCATTTGGTGCAGTATTTCACACATTTTGTAGTGGTTGTGGTTAATGGGCCACATATTAGAATTTAAATTGATTTTTTGTAGTTGAAAGCAACAACTAACACCACTTGTTTTGATATCTGAAGTCTGTGTAATACTTGGCATTGCAAAACAGTGATTGCATGGCCACAGTTCTAGGTCTCATTTCAGTTTAATGACTGAAGAATGGCAGTGGGGGGTAGAGGGGGTGCTGTGACATACTGAAGCCAGTAAAATAATTCTTAAATGTCTGTGCAACATGCCTTTGTTTCAAACATTTGTAGAGCCTGAAGAATGAGGAACTTCCAGTCTTCATTTGTGATATTGTTAGTGGTATTTCTTGACATTTCATCTTAAATAAATGAGTAATCTGCTATTTAAAACAAATGTTAATCCAACTCTCTCTGCTTTTAGAATCTGGAAGTTTAACACACAAAAGTCTGCAGTTCACACAACTATCCTTATGCCTACATGTAAAAACAAACATGTTTCTTCAGCACTCACCCTTGTGGCTGCATTTCACAGGAGTTTCCAAATATTTGGTGTCTTGATTATCCTAACAAATTTATAATGATGTCGTGGTACTCGTTTTTAAGACTGAGTTGACCTCAGGGCTATAGTGTGGCTGGAAGGATTAGGTAAATTGAAAAATCTGGTGACCTCATCAGGAATCAAATCCAAGACCTTTCGGCTTGTAACATAATGCCTCAACCAACTATGCTACTATGTGGCCCCACTATGCTAGAAACCATAAGTTAGTGGGTTTGATTCTCACTGTCATTTGTGGGCCTTGATGTCTCACAACGTTATGGGCCTTCATGGCCTGTTACAGGGATAGCTTTACCCTTTTTTCCTTCATGAAATGGGTTGGTATTGTGTAAGAGAAATCATATTCCTGATATGAATGAGTACATAGTTTAGCATAGTTCAAGTTTAAATTATTTTATTCATATCATTTGCATAAAAGCATATAGTTCAGAACCCAGTGACAATAATGACAGTAACTCAACAGGGATGCTGGATAATGGATTGCATAAATTATATTTAATCTCTCAAATAGCAGGTTAGAAGAGAATGTTATGCTCATATTCTTTTTATAAGCCTGTGCTTAGTTTCATACAAAAAAAGGCTACTTAATGTTCTTGTAGTATGGCAGCAGATAATATATTTCTAATGATATTTATTCTAAGGATGAGAGTTGAAAAGAATGAGGTTGTATGTAAAATTGCAAAGAAGAAGACAATGGAATTTAGACTATATAGTGTTGCTTACATATATATAATTGAAAACATCTTTAGAGGTATCTTAACATGTACTGAAAGTGAGTGTGTCTCACAGTAACACAGAATCTCCAGACTCTTAACAAAAAATTTGTCATTGGTGCCTTCTTAAAAGTTTCATTTACATTGTTGTGTAACATGGTTAGATTACTGATAATTAATGATATGAACAAAATCCGAGTATAAATTAATATTCATTTAACAAAATGCAAAAAGAAAAGGATTTTGTAAAGTGTGATGCCCCTAAAATGATGCTGTCTCAGGCGTCTGCATGGTTCACCTGTGTTGTGCCAGCCCTGGTTGTAGTAGTGCTTCCACGTGTTTTGAAACATTCACTTTTACCCCATTTGTTTCTTTTTCTTTCGATTACAGTGTATGATTTGTTAAGAAAAGGGAATATGTGAACGTTAACCAAGTTAAAGTTAACTTTTGAAGGGATGATAAATACACAGCTAAGAACAAAGCAAATTTTGTTAATTATCTGGAATTACATGATTATATCTTGATTATGCAACAACACTGAAGAGAATTAATCTCTAGTTAATAACAGGTGAATAAGAGAAATCAGTGTTGCCATTTATTTCCAGTTTGTTTTTGGTCAAGATCCTAGACATAAGATTGCCATAAAATTAAACTTTTTATTTTCACCTTGGCTTAATCACCATATATATAAACTTGACAGAGAAAAAATATTCTATTAGTCTTGCTCTTTGCAATTATGTGCTGAAATAAAGATTTTTTATCAGAATATTTCTTCCAAAGGTCCAGTTGCAACGAGCAATTTTTATGTTTTTTATATTGAAATCAATATGATTGTTTATATTAGCAGTATTTCAGTATTTTTACTTTAACTTAAGGAGACAGCTTAAGATGTGATCCACTTCATAAGAACTACTTATGATATTGTTATGTGCTAGTGACTTAGACACAGGTTTTAGGACTGTTAATGAATTTACTGATACTACAGATAATTACAACACTCACTGTTTTACACGATATACAAATAACTACAGCACACTTCCAAGTTTTTGCAGTCTGTTGTGTCTTCATGTATGCTTTGCTTGCTAGTGGCTTCTGATAATAAGGATTCCCTGCACTGCTTGTGCTCAGCAGTTCTTGTCCTTGCTGATTGATGACTGCTAAGCCCTGACAGTGGTCCTGAGTGGAGAGCAGAGCAATAATCTGATGATGGTCTTCACCAGCACAGTCAGTCATGGTTCCAGATCCTGTGAGGCTTGTGCCCATATTTTTTACAGCTTTGGGAGTCTTGTAAGTACTCCCAGAACTGTCCTCTCAATCAGTTGCTCTTGGTTCTGTGCCCTTTGGGGTCCATGAACATATATAACTTTGGGACAGGCCACATAGAAACTGCCTCTAGCAGTTCATCTATCATTGTATGTATATTCATTGCCCTAGGAATGTGTTTACTAAGTCACTGCCAAGCACTTCTCTGTTTCTGCTTGTTGCAGCTTTCAGGCATCATGTCACAATATATTTATTGCCATTCATAAAAGTATTTGTAACAGTCCACTGCCACTGGCCCGTGGGCAATGAGAGTACCAGCTTAGCAGATTTCAAATTTCTAGTTTATTTCTACAGATTTCCTGCCTCTAGCATATATTAACAGCGGAGAAATCAATCACAGAGCATACATGATACTGCACTTTATGCAGGTCTTACAAACATAACTAAATTGATGGAGTAAGTTGTGGTACAGAAACAGAATGCCATTTATGTCAAAGACATTTCTATCAAATAGTATGTATGTTTTGAATCCCAATATGCTTCAGTTGTTTATGTGCCAAAGTTAACTACTGGCATTCTAATGATTTATGAGTAACAAGGTCATGAAGTATGAAGTAATTCGAAGAGTGTCATGTCTTTCATTTGAAATAGCTGTAATGTATGGATTTCTAATATCTGGAAATGTCCAATGTATTTTTGTTGTTAACATTTTATTTGCGAATACATGTATTTGTGTGAATGTGTAAAGTATATAGTCACAATTTTATAATACTTTTTAATACTATTCAGATATTTGTTATTAATTTAACGTTATTACAAATTGGTATTAAAACTAGGAATGTATAACTCTCAAATTTGAAGCACAAACCTTTTCTGAAATGTTCCATCCTTACAAAGGATCCTTATCAGAAATCCTAATGGATAGTGCTCTGTTTCATATGAGAAGCAAGGGCATGAAAGGTTTTAATGATTTTCTAATATATTTTCCAAGATATCCTGTATGTTCCATAACATAGTACAAATTTCTTTTCACAGCAACATGATCTGTAATATTTCTGTCTTCAGTCATTTATAATCAGGTATAAGTCATTACTGTTCCAACACTCAACAGATTTCTTGGAATTTCTTGAAGCTTATGTCTGTATTTGTCAAAAATGCCCTTGAAATTCTAACTATCTTGACATGACATGAATCAGATGTTCAGGAAATGTAGTATAGGTCTGAGTTGCATAAAACAAATCTAGATTCATGTCATCCTATTTTGTAATAACTTTGAATCACTTATAATGCTGTATCTCAAAATATGAAGGCAGGGTTGGGTGTAATATCTTCAAAAGGGATAATATCCTTGTTTGCAGTAGACTTATGAAGTCCTACGTCTCTAATTCCTGCTAAGAACTTTTATTATTAAACTGCAAATGGGTTTTCACCCGGTGGCAGTCGTACTGCAGTAAGACAACAGAAAAATAACACACACAAACACAGCACACAAATGAAAAGTGAAACATACTATGTAATAAACTAACAGTAATGAATGCGTAATATCATGTTCTCATTTTCCCTTCATTTCGCTTTACTACACTTACGTAACCCTCCCATCCTAACACTTTTCACTTCACTTCACTGCATTTCTGCTGATTTCCACCCCACCTTCACTTTGCCTCATTTATCACTTGCAGGTAGTTGGTTACAGATCTGTATGTCCTATTTACAAAGGAGTATTTTCCAATATCTGTCCATTGCTTTCTGCTCCTAATTTTCTTGTCATGATCACCCTTGCTCAGGTAGCATGGCCTTTTGTAATCTATCACCTATAGCCTTCCAAGCCCGTTCTCCTGTGTATGCTTTGAAGAGAGTGCATATGCGAGCTATTTGCCTGCGCTGTGTCAAGGTTCCCAAGTAGTAGTATTCATATTTTGGTTGAAACATCTGGAATGTATGTATAATTTTTTTTTTTTTTTCAATCTTATTGGTATACGATGTGAGTTCATAAGAAGGTTAGTCTTCCCAAAGTTGTTAAATACAACTCTAATTCAACAGACACGGCTTGGAAATAATTCTGCATGTCTTTTAGGTTAATTTTGATCATCATGATAAGCAGTTACTACAGTGTGTAATGTTGATGTTGACCATCCTAGTTTCGTATTTTTGTATATAATCTCATATCTTTATATACTGCTTTGATAGTTCGAGAGTATGCAACCTATTTCCATCCAGAAGGTTACAAATAAATAAATATACAGTATAATACAGTGCAAATGTTGGAAATCTATTTTTCTGCATACTCTACATGATCTCTCTCAAGTTCAAAATGTAGCGTCATACCGGTACTTAATAATTACATACCGGTATGACGCTGCATTTTGAACTTGTAATCTTTCGTTGGATTTTAAGTTCTCACAGCACCGACACTACAAGATTTTCTGAGAAGTAGTGTGTCTGGAACGGGGTCCACTCAGCCTCGTGAGGATAACTGAGGAGCTATTTCAAGGAAAGAGCGGCTCCGGTCTAGAAAACCGAAATGAACGGCCGTGGGGATTCGTTGCGCTGATCTAGCGACACCCTCTATCCGCTAAAGTTGGTACTAACTTCGCCGACAAGCGGCGGTCCCTGGGTCGGTATTCTTCGCTTGTGGACTAACACCACGGAGTTTGTTTATTGTTTGTGTTGAAAACCGGGGGGTGGGGAGAATGGGCGATAGTATGAGAGTAGCTAACGTTATTCCCGACTGAGCTCTTGGCAGTGGCTGCGGCCATTTGGCTAAAGATGAAAATAGATTGTAGCATAAGGTATGACGAAGAACACACTGCGTTTAGCACTCAATTCCATATTTTGCATTGTTCATACTTGCACTAAGTGCATAAAATAATCTGTCGATGAAATGTTGTATATGAACATTGCTAATCATAAGTAAACTCAATTATTGACAGAGTTTCTTCCCCCTACTCAAACTGTTGTGGAAATTTGAAAGTAGATCATCATTTTCAACCTTTACAAATTTAGCTCTAGGTTGGTAACCCTTCTTAAACCGACATATGCCTCTATATCTCTAAAATTTTACTTGTTATTGTTTGTTTCAAACTCATTAACTTGTTTTTCGAATAATCAACTTATTTTCTTCCTGAAATGTCCATAGGCTTCACCAGTTTCTATTTTGTGAACACAGGAGTGTCGAACTCACAACGGCATGTTCTAAGGCATTATCATTTTCGCTTCTGTGGAGCTGTTAAAAATGTTATAACGTATCTCTTAAAACTGACTTAGGAATGCAGAGGGGACTTGAAGGTCCTTCTGTTCTTTCACTCTTAGAAACTTGGAGAAAACCTCCACTTTTGTCTCCTTCTGTGACTTGACCGAATTTACTCTGGCGTTCTTACCTTTCTATAACACAAACACAGATATTCTCTCCTGAACTTTTCCAAGTTCTTGATGAAATTTTGTGTAAAAGCGCTTTCCGAGTTGTGTAGGCTCTACTCTTTACGATACAGAATAAATGTCTGATATTCAATCTTTGCGTACAAAAACATTAAATTGTTTGTTTTGTCCTAAAGAAGCCAAATCCTTCTGCAGACTCATCAAAATCAAGTCATGGGGCAGACCCATTACACCTGCTGTGGTGTCTGCCATTACCAAATTCTAGATACCGAATCATGACGATCATGACGATCATGACCGATCATGACGATGTTGCTTATACATCTGTGTGATGGGAATTCCAATGCCTAATTTTGTATACATAAGAGGTAAAGCTATCTCTGTAACTAGGGTTACGTCCTCATCTTTCCGGACATGTCCTCATTTTCGAGGGGTAAATTACCGTCAGGGAAGAATTTACAAAATTAAGGCAAATGTCCAAAAGTTGGCCTATTTCAATTTTCTTCTTTTTGCCTAGCATCTTTGCTTTATTCGTGTATCTTATCCTTGCAAAGGGAGTATTCATTTGACTAATCGGTGTTCACTTCCGGTTCCTGAGTCTGGACTGCGGGATTGCTTCGCTTAGCGGTTGGTTTTCACGTGTGTTGTAGAGTCGTTTAACATCGTGTCGTCATAAGTTTTAATCTAAAATAAGTGTGTGTTTTGTGATTTTAAACAATTAAGGAAATCAATAACAGGTAGGAATAGAGATACTAAATTAGAACGGTACGATATATAAGCGTACTCTTAATCTTATATTCCGATCCGCGTTACATATTATTGGTTATGATTTTTTCCTTATCTTTTTATAGCACTACTTCAAGAGAATAATGCCGAAGAGAAAGTGCAAATTCACAGACGAATAGAAGAAAAAATACCCGTGTTTTCGCTCTGGTCGCGTGGAATGCGAAGCAGAATGCATGATCTGTACTCCAGGGACACATGTCTCAATAACCAACAAAGGAAGCGGGGATTTAAAAATTCATATGAAGTCCGAAAAACATTCTAAGAATGTTAGAGGGGAGAGTTCTTCCGAAAAATTGACTACATATTTCATGCCTAATGCCAAAATTGACGAAAATGTATGTGCTGCAGAGGGCACACTTGCTTTCCATACTGTAGCACACCATAACAGCTACAAGTCCATGGTGTCCTCATTTTTAAGTTTCAAAATATGGTAACCCTCGTATGGTGTCCACATTTTTAAGTTTGAAAATATGGTAACCCTATCTGTAACAGGCCGTCAAGGCCCATAAGGTTGTGGAACGTCGAGGCTCCCACATTTTCTGTAGACAATCGACTCACAGACGGCGGTGAGGTTGTCAACCTTATGCGCCGGCCGCCCGTTACCACCCAGGCAGATTCCTGGTACTCATTTCTGTCAGAGGCTGCGTCGACCTCATGGCCATAGCGCGGCTGGAAGGATTACGTCAATTGAAAAAATACAATGACCTCATCGGGAATCGAACCCGTGAACTTCCGGCTTGTGGCATAGTGCCTCAGCCAACTACGCTACTGTACCGAGCTCCCACCTCCCCCAGTTTTGTATACATAACCACGGAAATGTGTAATTAAAATTCGCTTTGAGGATATGTCACTGCATAATTCTAGAAAAAATCGTACGGTGTGAAGGAAATTTCACTATTTTATGAAAAGTAGTATACCTGTAGCATATGCTCTGAGGGAAATGTAAAAATTAACAGGCGAAATTATTTTGTTCACGATTAAATTTTGCTGCTACGCACTATGCGTTTGTAGTGTTCTCAGTTGGGTGGAACGGAAGCCCATGAATTAAACAATATGGGAAACAAAGCTTACACCAGGGACACTTATCTTGTTTCTGGTTTAAATTCTGACATTTCCTGTTCAGGCATTACATTCAGCGAGCGACTTACATGAATCTGCGGTCACTTTAGCGTCCTGTCTTTCACTGCACTGGCGTGGGCTTTCTCGTTACAGCACTGACATCTACAAGTTCTATCAGAGAAAATTAATTTCCAAGTTGATGTGCATACTGGAGACATGAGTTCTGTTATATTGTGTAGAATTTGCCTTTCAAGGATCCATCGTACGTATGATTTTAGCCCTGGGCTCCACTCATGTGGCAGTTGGGTGAAATGAATCAAAGACTAAGAAAAACATCGCCCATATACACAGGATGAAACGTAACTTCAAGCACAAGTTCCCACAGTGCGATTCGTTGTTAAGAACAAGTTGAAAATGTTATACAATATGTCCTGAGAAGCTTACGTTTCGAGATACGCGGCATCGCCAAAAGGTATAGCAATGTTATTTGTCAGACGATAGAAAGACGATGCAAGTTCGAACCTACTGATCACAATAGAGTTTATTGTT